GTATTACATGCGGTTAAAAATCCGCTTGCGATTCGTGTCTAAAGAAAATTGAACACGCGTTTTTTTGTTGCCAGCCGCATTTCAAAATCGAATCGCCCAGCGAAAAGCTCTGTTTGCACATGACTTAGCGGCCACAGTAGCCACACGCTAAAGTGCACTGCAAATATTAAGCGGACTTAACATATTTTCTTTTTGGCTTAAGCAGTAAATAATGTTCAATTTGTTGGCACTTAAAATAACATGAAATTGTTGTGGGCCATAACGAGCGTTCACTGTACGATTGGGCGACTGCTATTTGGCCTGAAAAAAAAGCGACAATAACAAAAACAAAATAAAAATTAATTTAAGTAGCTTTATGGAGCTACTTTTTGGCCTTTACTTGCAACTCTTTTAGGCCAACTTCCGCTGACAGCAAAAATGAAAAAAAAAAAACTAAGCTGGCAACACTTGGAGCGCTCGAACTCTTTTTTATGACACATTGGCAGGGCAGGTTTTCTGTGTCGGCATTTATGACCCAGATAAAAGCTAAGCGTGTTGGTCAACAACTACGACAACTATGCACACACACACACACACACACATACACAAACACTGAGAATTGTTAATGAAAAGCGCTCAGCATTTGCCTAATGAAATTATGACCAAGTTACTAAGTGTTTGCTTAAGCAAGGGCTAAGGGCGAGGGACGGGAGAGGGCGAATATTGGGGCGCTATCGTAGCTAATTTGAAAGATTTTCTGGCTGACTATGAAAGAAGCATAGGCTAGCATATGATTTGATCACAATTTTATATATTGCACCTGAAGAAACAGTCCAGCTAATTGGGCTGCAATTATTATATTTTTTAATCTGAATTAACTGAAACATTTCAAAATATAATTTGAGTTATTTACTCAATTAATGCAGAAAACAAAAACAATTATCCTAAATTCCAAATTTTTTGAATATACCAAAAACAAGTTTCGTAGCAATTAGCTTTGTGTATGCCTAACACAATTTCTTGAATGTCATTGACCCACTGTTCTACAGCCACTCAAAACCGCTAGCATGTGACTATTTTTGAGCCCATTTAACACTTGTCGACCCACTGTGCCTAGACGCTACCCTTTTCAATTGTATTCAGAGCATATTTAGTAGTCGCAACAACTCGTTTGTCTAGCCGCAAATGCAAGAGGCATGCGCGAGTGGCAGCTAACCCAATTAATACACATCATAAATTTATAATTTCCATTTTGCTTCTCTTTTTCCATATTGTTTTTCTGCTCAAGTTGTTGTTGTTTTTTTTTTTTTTAATTTTATTGTAACGCTTTTTAAGCGCGTCACACACACACACGCACACTGACACAAATAAGCCTTAATTTATTTAATTGCTCGGGTTGTGTTAATGTGTTTTACTGTACTCTAGTTGCTGTTGCCCTCGCACTTGTGCATTTATTACTGTATTTTTCTTCACTCCTCTCTTATCCTCTCTGTCTCTCCTTCTGACTCTCTTTTTTCGTTAGAAATTAGAGCGCACACGCGATTTAAATTCAGTTATAAACGTATATATATATCATATATATATACATATATTTATATATCTATTATTTTGTTGCTACACTTGGAAAAACGGTTTGTTAATTGTGCGGCGCATGCGTCGTATACGCAATTAATTGTTGGCTTTTGTTTGAGTTTGTTTTCTCTGTTTGTTTGCCATGCACCAATTTTTTCTTTTTGGTGCTCTGCAGCGTGTTGGCGGTTGGAATTGTTTCGCTACAGTGAAAACTCTAGGCGTGAATACCGATACTAAAATGTCTAAAATGCATTTTGGGTTTGACTCTGACTTTTGATTTGAAGCAAAGAAATAGCTTAAAGCATAAAACTTCTCTTCTTTGAAAGTGCTTGAAAAATCTAGAATTGTATTACTCCATCCATATAGGTTAATCCTTCTCTCGCCTTTCATATAAATTTTAAATGAAATTCACGTACTCCAGCTTCAGCTCGCTCTAATGAGCTTTCACTGTAGCTCTGTTAGCCGCGCCTAGTCAGTGAAGCAAAGCTCCTTCCCCCCCACCGCCTCTAATTCCAATTGCAAACGGGAAAAATCACACAAAAAGCAGCTGCTGCACCCACTGTGCCACGCACCAATTCATCTGTTCCACAAACAACAAAAATTGGCTTAGACTACGAATTAAATTGGCTTTAAGCATAAACAATTTATACAAACTTTTCAACAATTGACGCACGTACACACATACATACATACACATATCATATATGTGTGTGCGTGTTTGTGTATTTGGGCCCAAAATCAAATTCAACTTTGGAATGCACAGAAATTCTGCGCAATCAGCATTTGGAGCGCTCTTATCTTATCACTAGCTGCCCCGACGCGACGTAGCGCCATGTTTGATTCCAAATTGTTTGTTTGATTTCGATTTCCGTAATTTGCCTTTCTTTTGAGCTGTTATTCAAGTTTTTATAGAAAACTATTGACATGATTGACTCTATATATATGTAGATTCCGGAGCCTTAACGGTTGGACAAAGAGAACGAGAGAGAGAGAGAGTTTAGCAAATACAGCTGTTCGTCTTTTTATAAGGTTCTGTTCTTTACTTTTACTGTACTTGGTGATAAGAATGTTATGTAAAAAATATCAAAACTTCACTGTGGCTATATCTTTTATCTCCAACTATTCTAATAGCTAGTGTCTGTAAAAGAATCGGAATTGAATGTTTTTTTTTTCCATTAAATAACAACTTTAAGTGTGTTAACACTATATCAAGACATAGTTCAGACGATCTTCAATCAGCTTTACTTATATAAAACAATATTTGGCTATTAGGCGTTTTTAAACAAAAACAAACTAAAGTTAATTTCGAAAATTCTTAGAAATTCATTTTGTATATCTATATTTATATAGATAAGAAGCAGCATTCAAATGATTTAGATTGATTCCCAAAAATTTGAACAAGGTGTTCTCTACATTGGCTTTCAATAATTATTTTTACAGGGTATGTGGTACAGCTCTAAAGCACATACTATATATACACATTAGTCAGACATACACAGTCACCCCCATTATTTTGACCCATTTTTTAAAGCGTAAATCGGCCGATCATTGCATTGCGCCCATCGCGTATAGCAATAAAACTGCTAATCACATTTGTTTAGTTGGAAATCTACAACTGATAAAGTTTGAGTTTTTTTATTTTCTTTATTTTGTCATGCTCCCCACAATCTGCCACCCACTCTACCTTTCTCTGTCCCGCTCTCTCTTGCACGTTGTTTTTAGTTGTTTTTCTGTTTTTCTGTTGCTTTTGCGTTCTCGTTGCTCTGTTTCGCTGTATATTTTGTGTGTTTTGGTTTCAACACGACACGAATAACAATTAGAAGAGGAATAATAACAATTCTCGAGTTGACTGGTTGCTCTGATGCCGCTGCGTCTGCCACGCCCACGCCCACGCCCACACTGACACGCTGCCGCCGCCGCCGCCACCTCGTTGATGTTGCGTTGTTGTTGCGGTTTTGTTCAGTTACAAAGAAAAGAAAAATACAAAACAAAGGCAAAAAAAGAAAATATAAATGCGTAAAAATAAAAGAGAAAAGTATCTATAGCATAGCATCCTCTTGAGACAGTTTTGGGCTGCGTGTCAGGAGTGCATTTGCACTGAAACATTCTGAAGCTTGTAAATGCACTATCTGGTACGACATTCCAGAACGTACAATCTTCCCGAATGCAACAACTAAATGCTGAAACAATATATATGCAATTTTTGTGAATAGTGTGATTTGCCAATATATACAAATATGTATATATCTGCAGTTTATTTATTTATTTTATTTTATTTTTTAAATTAAATTTTAAGTACAAACTAAATGTAAGCGTTTATTCAGTAAAAATAAAGAAATTATATGTTAATAAAATGTTTTCTATTTTCAATAAATATCCTCAATATATGTTGTTTTATTTCTGTGTAACTAGGGCAGCAAATCTATCTGAAATATGCCCAAGATACAATTCCATTGACTGTTCAACATGTGAATATATGCTATATATATATATATATATACTACTGCATCTGCCATATATACATCTAGCCATATAAAAGATACACACAAAATATATATATATATAATAGGGTGATTCACTTAAAGCATAGAGATAGAATAGATATGTATAACATTAAGATATAGTACAAAATACTGAAAAGATTTTACATTAAGGCAGGGATACATTTGATGGAATGTAGAGAAGATGCTACATGAAATTCAGAGATACATTAAATTCTTGATTCTATAGACATATAGATAGATACATATAGATAATTGTAGATACATATAGAATAGATAGATACATGCACAAAGATAGTACTATAAATAGATAGGCAGATACATGTAGACAGATAGGCACTTATAGGTATAATAGGTACGTATATTAGATACATATGGATAGATACAAGACACATTATATAAGCAAAGATAGATATATACCTACCAGACACATATGAATAGACATAGATCCATAGATACTTTGAAAGACAGTATAGACACAAACATATAGATATTTTCACAATCAATCATTCAGATTGAAAAGCAACTAACAAAAGGAACTTTCGATGCATAAAATCTGAGATACATTTTTACTATATCTATCTATATGGATTAGATAACCCAACATAAATCATGTTGAGCAATAAATAATACACCATCGAAAGGCCATTTCGACTCGCTTGCAATGACCTTGAAACCGGGTCGAGTCATCCCAACTCCAGTTGCAAAGAAGGCGTGACATGGTGGCCCACTTTCAGCTTGAAACTGAAAGCAATTATTGTATGCATAGCTTAAAGCAAAACTAACTAAAAAGCGACCTTCAGACGTCGCATGCTCTAAGTAATTTGTTTGCAGCCCAACTTTCGCTCCACTACCCCGGCCCACTTGTCAAGGCCAACATAGAAACCCACAGTTCCCCACAATATATGTATATGTATGTATCTCAAAGTTTCATTGCATATTTTACAGCGCTGCGCTTGGAGCCACGCAAAATGAATAAAGCTTTCGGCGGACACGCAACGTAGCATAAAATGCAGCATAAGTGGATAAGCCAATGGCGACGACGACGGCGACGGCGGCAGCGGCAGCGGCAGCGGCGGCGATGTTGCTACCAAAGAGACGCAAGATGGCGCAAAGTGATTTCGCCTCGCTGAAAAGCTCGCGGCGGCATCATTTGGGCGAATTCTGATTGGCGCCCGTTTTCAAAGTGTTCAATCTATCTGTCATACACGCTCATCGTATTCTATTATTTTTTTAACTTATTTCTCTTCATTTGATCATACGAAAAAATACCCTTTAATCCGATTGGCTATGCGCTTTGGCAGTGTGGTTAGCTGGTTGTGTGGCCACTTGACAAATCACAGCCACTATCTTCACTGCCGCCGCGACAAGCTATGACACCGAGAGCAACTAGACAAAAAGAACCAATTAATAAATAACTAATTAACAAGTAGATAAATAAAAGCAGTGTGCAAACTAACAAAGCAAACTGCTAAATTTGCAGATTACTTATCTAGGATAAGTAGATGCAAGATATGTGGTCTCAGGTGAGTACGCAGAAGAAGGATTTATATAATAAAGGAAAAATATCTAATAAAAGGGCTGGCTTGTCATTTTGGCTGTAGTAATACCAATAATCTTCAAAAAGGTAATTTATAATAACGTTTAGAGTTGAAGTGATCATAACTGGTGTGTTTTAAGATCTGAATGGTATTTTCCACGCGGTAGTCCATCGTCTCCATTGTAAATACAAGTTCTTCATTTCACAGTTCACAAGACATAAGCAGGAAATTGAATTTAGAAAGTTATCTAATTTGAAATTCACATATACATATATAAGCGAATTCTTTAAAGATTTCTCTTAATATTAATTTCCTAAAGATTGTAAAATTCGTTCTCTTTTAAATGTAAATATGACTAGATTTCAACTGAAATCAATTTCTATTTAGAATTAAAAGTTAATGAAAACCAAGCGCTACGTTTGCACAAATTCTTCTACTATTAGAATACCCCTCATTGTCTATATGTTTATACAAACAAAACCCCATTATTTCATGGTAATTTAAGACAAATTCCCCAGCTGGAATCCCCCTCACAAGCTCTATAAGTATCTACATCGATAGCAATAAACCGAATCAAAAGTTTTTACTATTTGTTATTCGGGAAATTTTAAATCTAAATGCTACGTAAATCTACGTTTCTTTAAATAATTTTTTGAATAGTTGGAATTCCTCACTGCTGCTCAATATTAAGGTGAATGTTATTTTTATTGCACAGCTGCTGGGCGCTAAAGGCATTTATAAATAAAAGCAAACATCGGTCCAAATAAATCGCATTTGTTGTTTTTTATGTTTTGTTTGTTTTTTTTTTTTTATATTTATAAATTTTAAATTAATAAAATTTACTTGCTATATTTCTATATAAGTTCTTCTTCATATAAATAATCATTTTTAGATCGCACATTCTTTCTCTTTCATTTTTTTGTTTGTTTTTTTTTTTTTCTTATATTTTTATTTGAATTACACAACATTTCTATTATTTATCGTTTTTTTTTTCTTTTTTTTATGTGTATGTTAAAAGATTTTTGTGGTTTTCTTTCTTATATATTATTGACATTGTTCTTCAAATAAATGAGAACAAATCTGTTTTGTATTTTATATTATCGGGTTTGTTTGTTCTTATATGTGTGGTTGTTTTTATTTACTTTTGTTGTATTTAAATATCTTTAAACTGATTTTAATGAATTTACCTTAACTTCGTTTCTGTTTTAACTAGCTTTTACTTATGTTGGTTGTTTCTGTTGTTGTATCTCCCAGTTGATTGTTGTTGTTAATGTTGTTAAATGTTTATCGCTGCTTTAAATAATTTAAGAGTATTTAATAGGGTAATAATAAATTAGTTATACGCGTGATAGTTATTGGCAAAGTTGAATATAATTTATATGATTTGATATCAACAAAAAATGGTAATGAATTATATTTATTTATTTACCCCATTCATGTTCTTTGCGTAGATCGTGTGTGTGGGTTTTGTGTGTGAGTGTGTGTGTGTGTGAGAGCGTGTGTGTTAAATAATAGTAGTAATAAATACAACGTTATACAAATAAGAGAGGTTTTCCATATCGTTAATGTTCAGGCTCGACATAAAACAAAATGCAACAAATTCTAAAATGAATAAAAAAAATTCGAAATTTTTTACGTTTTCAAATGCTTTGCAAATATTTATACAATTTGTTGAAATTCTCTACGCAAGCATTTACGTGACTAAACAATAATAATACAAAATGTATTTTTTTAAAATAATAGTAAAATGAATGAAGCTATATAAGAAAAATAATAACTGTTGCAATTTAGTTTTGATTCACGCACGAATTATACACAAAACTTGTCAAGCTAAATATTTTTGTTTAATGCTAATTTACAAATGAAACTAAAAAGTATATACATATATATTATGTTGGTATATATGCGTAAATAATAAAGAAAAAAAAAAAACAATATAGCAATTACATTGATTTCTTTTACTATAATTTTCTTTATGTAACTAGAAACTTTCCAAGTTGCTGAAGAATCGTGCTTTAAAAGCACATTTTCGGCAAGTTTTTTCATGTTTTTTTTTTTTTTTTTTTTTTTTTTTTTTTTTTTTTATATTTTTTTTTTTTTTTTTTTTTTTTTTTTTTTTTTTTTTTTTTTTTTTTTTTTTTTAGCAATTAATTTTCTGTTTTCTTTTCGAAAAACTATGTTAATTGCCTGGTTTTAAGTTTAAGTTAACATAATCCAATTTGTTCTCTTTTCTTTTTTTGTTTTGCTAATAATTGCATTTTAGTTTTGGTTTATACACATAATTAATTAGTTTCCTTTTTGTTTTTGATTGTTTTTATTTAATTTCAATTAAAATTATAAGCCTAGGCATGGTTGTTGTTTTTTGCATTATTCTCTTCTTTTTGTGTATAATTCGAGCTGTCTGTAAGTATGTATGTGTGTGTGTGACGTATTAGTATAGATGTGTGTGTGTGTGTTTGTATGTAGTACATTATTCATGTATAATTATATATGTTTGTTGTTTATTTTTTAGTTACTCGAAATAGTTTCTCAAACATTTTGTTATTTATGCCTACTCTACACGTTGTTCTGTTTGTTGGTTGTTTCGTTATGTTGTGTGTGTGTGGGTGTACGTTTTGTTGTGTAAACGACATGAACATTTTAATTTCATTATCTGCCTGCATGCTGTGTGTGTGTTTGTCTCCTGCCTAATGCGCATATACAACATGTTGTTAAACGAAAAATTTGCATTTTATTTGGGTGTTGTTGTTGCTGTTGCCGTATGGTTGTTGTTGTTGTTGCTGGTGCTGCTGCTAATTAGGACGTACCATTGACCAAGCCTTCCTTCTTGATGACATCCGAGTTAACCGCCTGATCCGCATGGTTATTGCGATTCTTGTTGTTGCGCCTGGGCTTCGACTGCTGGTGCTGGGGCCCCTGTGGCTGCTGCTGTTGTGCATGCTGCGGTGGTTGCTGTTGTTGCTGTGGCAGCAACTGTTGCTGCTGCTGTTGTTGTGTGGCCGCCTGCTGCTTCTCGCTATTCCGCGCCGCATCCTTCGACTTGCCAGACGAGGCGTTCGCATTGCCACTGCTCTGTTTGCTGTTCTCCTGTGCATTCAGGGGCGCTTTGTTCGATTGTGCTGGCGCCTGGTGCTGTTGCTGTGCTGACGTCGACGACGAGGATGACGGCGGCTGCTGTGATTTGTTGTTGTTGCTATTATTTCCCACCGCGCCATTTGCTGCAAGTGGAGTCGAAATTGTTGTTCAGCTTGACTAGCATTCAAGTGGAATCATCCTCACCATACTCACTGTTGCCGGGCGCATTGTTGTTCTTTTGCCTTCTGCGTCTCCTGGAGCTGCCCTCGTACGATGAGTTGCTGTCCGCTGTGCCGGAAGAGAGAAACATATATGTGTACAGGTGACGCAATTGAAATAACACAAGAGATTGCAATATTAAGCCCAATCACAAATCAAATTTATAACGTCAAAAGTCATATTACAAATGGGTTACATTGAATTGCACAAATTAGATTCATTTGTTGGCCAAAAGAACGTTGATATGAAAATGTATATAAATTTATATATAAATATATACGTGCGTATACCATACACTCTCACACAGATACACTCATACAGACATACAGTCCCTAGTTATATACAACAATGGTTGCTTGAATACCGTGAACGTCTTGACCCCCCGCTTAACGATCCTCAAGCCGATTGCTCTCCCTCTCCCTATGTCTCTTTGTTTTAATCCATTCGTTGCTTGATCAACTCACCACGCTCCACGCTGCTCACTTCGCGCGTCTCCCGCATTTCGTCGGTGTGATTATGGTACTGATAGTCCCTGCCATTCTGCTCGTTGCGTGGCGGCCGGCGATTGATGCCGCGACGGTCGTTGCCGCCGCGATAGTTTTGGATGCCTCCACTGCCGCTTCCACCGCCACCGCCACTCACACCACCGCCGCCACCAGCACCACCGTTATTGCCAGTGTTTGGTGGGCCGCCACTGTTGCGATCATTGTAGCGCTGGTCGCGCTGATGGTCGCCGCGGGAGTTGTAGTCATCGTCCTCGCGTCGATTGTTGTGATAGCGCTGATTCATGTTATTGCCACCGCCGCCACGGCCGCGAAGGCGACCACGCTGACCACCGCCGCCGCCGCCACGTATCGAGCGCACAGATTCAATGTCGCTGCTGTAGCCGCGCTCTGAGCGCCGCGACACAGCGAAGCTCTGTGTGGAGCCCATCGAGGACTCCTGTATGGCGCGCAGCTGTTGATCGATCTCCAGCTTCTCCTGGCGTAGTTGCTCCACTTCCTAAGCAAGCAATATAAATAAGCATTAGCACAGATTACATTGCATTTAAAGTTGTTCTGACACTCACCTTCAGATGTGACAGATGATACTCCAGCAGCACTTTAGCATTCGCAATGCTCTCCATGGTGCCAATGAACACAAAGGGTACGTGCGCTGGTTCGCGTGGTATATTCTGATCCTGTTCGTCATCGCCAGCGATCTGAGTTTTTGTTGTTG